TTTTCCTCGCAAACAAGCAGAGTGCATGGAAGTCTGCATCAACTGGTGCGGTACCTTCTATGGAAATCCTTGGGCAGAGCACATTGGCCCCCCCATGGCTCGTAGTTGGGGTCCGCCGACATCATCTCCCACTCCTCCCACCCACCACCGTACTCCCAGGGTTCTAGAGGCGGAAGATCTGGCTTCTCGGTCGTCTTGGAGTTGGCTGCTGGCTTCTTCTGGGCTTTCGCCTTGCACACAGGTGCTGGCTTCTTCTTGGCCTTCGCCTTCCTGCTCTGGGCAGCTGCCTTGTGGACCACCTTCATGGCTTTCATGGGGGCAGCAGGCTTCTTGAAGACCATGGCTTTGGGCATGGTGCAGGCGGAGGAAGCTCTTGGGAAGAAGTGGCTGGATCAAGCAGACAATTACAGACATGGTATAGCCATGGTGGCAGGCTAGAAAGCAGAATCGGTGCTGGGACAGCCACAGGAGGCTTGCTCAAGTCACCTGGATCCAAGAAGGTGCTTCTTTTTGCCGCAACAGCCTGGTCCCTGCAGCTCTGCAAAACTTGGAACCCTCAAAACTCCTGCAGCTCTGCATGGTGCAAGGATGGATCCCATGTGCATGGCCCATAGAGGCTGGGTCAGCCCTTCCTGGGCTTTTTCTTGGCTGAAGCCGACGTGGCTGCTTCCTCCTCGACCTTCTGCAAGATTTGCTCATTGGCTTGGATCTTCGCAGGGTTATGGAGGATGGGCACGGTGCATGGCCCCTGCTTGATCGTAGTCAAGACCATGCTGCCCTCATCCTCGCCCTCTGCTGTCCTGCACCAGAAAAATGGCACGATGGTGCCCTCTGCCTGGAACTGGAGGTCCTGCTTCCAGCTTCCAATGGCCCAGTCATGGCCGAAGGCCTGAATGGCCAGCTTGGGCGGCTTCTGGCCTGTCTTCACTTTGCTGATGGAACCCAATGGAACCAGCTTGAGCTTTTTGCTGGCAATGGCTTTCTTGGCATACAGTGCCTGGGGACTGGAAGCCATGCAAAGGAGTTCCAAGTCCTCGACCGACTGCTCCTGGTAGCATTGGTGGAGTGCCGTGACCACAGCTGCCTTTTGGAAGTCCTCCTGGGCCATGGCATGGCTGGATGGGAGTCCCCTGGTTATGATGTCGGCTGGGCCGATGGCTGGCATGGAGTGGCGGGAGACCCGCCACTTCCCCAGCCCCGCCAGCGGCACAAAAACTGTCTCCGGTGCCTGGAGCACTGGCCTGTGCTCCATGGTCCCACCCTCGTTGCTGATTTGCAGGAGCTGGTAGACCTTGGCTCCGTGCTCCTTTGGCAAGGTGTACCTTGGTTTGTGTATGGAATGTATCTACAGCAGAATCTTATGAGGGAACAGACATTAAAACAGCAAAACTCCTATGTGCAATCATGGGCACTGGTCGCCCACCTTGATGTGGGTGTTCTGGAGCAAGGTGGCTTCCCATGGCTGGGCAGAGACTGCATCCTTGATGGTCTTTGCCTCTGCAGCTGGGGTGGCCTGCTTGACCTTGGAAACGTCCTGGGTGAAAAGGTCGAGAATCTGGGCCAGGGACTCCAGCTTCTGCTGGGCATCAGGGCCAAGCTTTTCCTTTTTGGTCAGAAACAAGATGGCTCTGACGCAAAACTTGCCGAAACACTTGTAGAGATGGTTGCTGCCGGCATTGGTGCTGGTGCCTTCTGGAAGCTGGCTCTGGACCAGTTTCCAGGAATCCGAAAGCATGGACTCCGCCGTCCTGACGGACTCCATGTTCTGTGGCGACGACAGTCTCTGGACGTCGGCTCTGGTGAGGAGTCGTGCGAAGCCGTCTTGCTGTTTGGTGGATGTGCGCTGGGTTGCCCATAGAGCTGTGCGGAGCAATGGGTAAAGGTTGCCAGGGTCTGGGAAGGTGGTGTGCGACAACGCCTCCATGAAATCCTGGCCCATCATGCACGTGGTGCCGTAGGTGGAGGAGAAGTGGGAAAGGAATTTCAGCAATGGAAAGCTTGTGCCTCCAGAGTATCTCGAGACATAATGCCCTATGGCTGGGAGGCTCTGCCTGCAGGCAACTTCGCCGCTGGCAACGGACTGGATTGCCGACTCCAGACTGGCTCCCATTTGCACTTGAATGGCTATTTGGCAGGCTGCTTCCAACTCGCTGGTGGCTCTGCCAATGGCATTGCCAGAGTTGGCTCCGACTTGGAAGAACTGTGGAAGGCTTGGCATGGCTTCTTCCACACTGGAGGCCACCACATGCCACCGCCACCCGGTCTGGATGGCGGACCAGACTGGGTCTGTCTTGGGCACGGAGATGGCTTTGCCACTGGGATCCGTGGTCCCATGCTCCAGGCATCTCAAGAATGCCGTGGTGTGGCTGCTGGCAAGGGATAGGTATCCTCAGTGGCCAATGTATGTCTACAATATACATTTATCCGCAAATTGTAAATGGATTGGATATATAGAGAAAAGGAAACCAATTCTATGTGTCATCTGAGTGGCCCTCTGCTCCACTGACTGGGGCCAGGGAGCCCTTGCTCTCCTGGACCAGCTGCTGGTTCCTCCAAACCTGCTGCTGGCGCTTTTGGGGGTCCGTGGACATCTGGAGACAAATGGACCCTTGGAGCAGATGCACTTGCAGGCCAACTGCCAAGAGTTGGTGTCCCTTGGCCCAAACGTCAAAGTGGGACACCATCTGCCCTCCCCGGTTGGAGGGGTGGCAAAGAACTTGGCTTGGAACCAAGGTCTGCTGCTGGCAGAGGCCATGGTGCTCCAGCACCTGCAAGACCTTGGTGACTCTGGTGTTCACTGGCTCGCGGCCATTCACAATGGCCTCCACCTCTTGGACCACAGCTGGAGGGACAGCCATGGCTTCTGGCTTCTGTGCGGCTGTGGCCTTGTCTGGTATATCCTATCTGGAATTCAAGTGTGGCTGTGCCGGGCAACTTCTTTCTGCTCGTCTGGAACTGCTGGATTCTAACCACCTGCATATATATCTGTCGGGTTCAACAGTGGCATGGTTCTGCGACCATGGATATGCATGGATGGCCTATACTGGCTGCAGGCAGACGATAAAGCAAACAAAACTGTATGCATCCCTTCAACACTTGACACTTGCAAAACTGTTCTGCAGCAAGCCTTTTCCTGCGAAGGCCTGGCAGAGTCTGGAAGAGTCACTCCTGGACTGGTCGTGGCTACTACCTGGCTTTCTTCTTGTAGCTTCTTTTGGCCTGGCCGAGGACTTGGGCCGTATCCTCATCATTGCGAATGGTCTTGATGATGGTCTCGGTCTGGTGCTGTTCGAGTTGGATGGTGAGATCGCACCTCCTTGGCCTCTTGCCACTCATCAAGCAGGTGACTTTGGAACCATTGATGTCCATGGTAACTTCTTCTTCTTGGTTGTCTGGAAGAGACCTCTTTCTGGTCGACTTCTTTCCTGAGCCTGGCTCTGGAGCATCGAAAAGTTGCTCTGCTGGTGTTGCTGGTTGGTCGAAGCTCTGGTTCCTCTTCTTGATGAGATTGGCCATGGCCGTAGAACCCGACAGACTGGCATTCTTGTCGGGTCTCTGGCCTGTGAGCAACTCAATTATGGGTTGGGAAGTGGGCCGAAGTTGGAGCCACTGCTTGTCCTTGGACAGCTTCACCAGATCCTTGGGGATGAGGATTGGCCTCTCCGACTCGTACTTTATCTGGATGGCCGCACGAATTTCCACCATGCTTGGAAGCTATGGTGGACGTGGAAAGCTGTAGCTGGCACTCGCTATGGCCGGGTGGCTGCAGCAAACATACCATGCAATACAAAGACATGAGCACACTGCTATGGCCGTCTGGCTCCCATGATCACACACATGCAATGCCAAATACAAAAAATCGAACAACAACTCTGATAAATTATTTGCTAAAAGCAAACAACATATATCTCTGGCAGTCCATACTATAATCTTCAAAATCAATGATAACATTCAGCAAAAACTTCGATTCCATTCTAAAACCCATGATTTCTTATCTTATACCTTCAGTGCACTCGACGAATTATGCACCACAAATCAGAATACATGTCATTGAAATATTACATCTCCATGTATGAATTTCGTATTCTTAAAGCCTATATTTCAACATCCATAACTCCATGTAACTCACCCTAACTTTTATAAAAGGTTAAGTTAATTATGTTACTTAGCTAACAAAATATTAACTTTAGTAACATAACATAAAAGATATAAGTATTATAGGAACATGTAATCACTTAATAGACGGTTAACACTCACTTATAACAGTTTAATAACTAGGGTACAACTCCACATAACTATGTTAACCACTTATAAAACAACCAGGATTCCAAGTGGGGCATTGCACCGGTTGAAGCGGACTTCTCTGCATAGAAAAGGTCTCAGGCTGAGCTACGTCCGATGGCTTCTGGCTGGCACTGGAGATGAGCACCTTCCACATTGCATCAACAACACTCGGGCATTGGAACCAATCCTGGACGGGTTTCGGGTTTTTAACCGAACTTGAAGTTCTTTGCGTCTGCGAGCACGAGTGGTGGCAACTAGAATCAATCCATGCATAGGCATCTAAGGACTCATATCTTAAGGCTTTTGGGCCCAAAGCCATACTATATAAGGATTTTGGGCTATTTTGATGCCCAGGGTATTAGGGATCCTACTTTGTTTTAAGATGTATTCCTTCATTAAGGAATCTCGGAAGGCCTGTGAACCTCAACCCCAGCTGGCGCTCCAGTTACCTAAACAATGGATTCCTGGCGCCACGTATTATATATTGCTACTTGGGTTTGTTTAATCCCTGGTCTTTAGTTGAGGTGTCGTAAGCCATAACCTACTCTTTCGCAGCATTCGGCGCTGTCAGCAAGCTCCCAAGCTTTGCGTTCAGAGTGGTGGGTTCAGGGTTTGGGGCGTTTAAGTTCTCGAACAGGATTCAGGGTTTTGGGTAGTGGGAATAATACTTGCGAAGTGCCTGGGTCATCCATGGCAAGTAGACAAACCATCATCAGGACATGGCCACCTACATTGCATCCTTCGGCAAGCATGTGGTCATTGAGAAGGTGGGGATGCAACCAAACCCTTAAAACCCTAAGCAGCAAACCCTAGTCCCAAGACTCGCACACCCTAAACACCCTACAGTGAAGCCAAGAAAGTTGGAACATGGTTTAAGGATGATCAGTGCTGGGATTCCCTATACTTTACCTTAAGGGCATGAGGATAATGATGTTCCAACTTTCTGGACTCTACGATAAACCTTAGAAGCATCCAACGCCTTCGACCTGAAGTCGCCAGACCCCAAGTTCCTAAAGAATTCAGCCTCTGAAACTTCATCACTGGGCATCAAAATAGTCCAAAAGCCTTACATAGTATGGGCTTGGGGCCCAAAGGCCGTAACACATTAGTCCTTAGATCCCTAGGGTGTGGCCCGTGAGCCCTCCCATGTTAGGAGCCTTGTGACAACTGCCCATATTCCGTTTCCAATACCCAAGACTGGCGAACTTCTCGGTCTGTAAGCAAGCAAGAAAGGAAGCAACAGAGCAACACAGCAAATCAATGAAGGCTTTGGGTACTCGAACTGTCTTTCCTTCTCAATAAACACCCAAGCTCCAGGTGCAGTTGCAGGAAGATGCACCCGAAACCCATTGCCGAAAGGCCAAACTGATACAGTCCAAAAGCCCTCAACATCCACCCGATGCAGCCTACTATAGGAACCTGATTCAGAAACCCTGGGCCTATATTATAACCCCAATATAGGACTCATCTAAGGAACCTAATAAAGGTCCAAGGTTTCTTAATCAGGTTCCTACATTACGAGTCCGCTCGCCACTTATCAACCACAGGAGCCCTCACGCCTGGTCAATACGAAGCCTACAAACACACAAGACACATGAGATGAAAGCTGCAAAAGTTGCCAACACTCGTCCCTAGATCCCTAAAGTTCCTTAACATAAGATAAGTACCCCAAACACCTTATTCTACTCATGAAGACCCCATGCACTAAGCAAACAGGTGCAGCTGCAGGATGTCGACGTCATTTGGGAAGCTTGGATCACAAAATCTGGTGTCTTGTTAACTTACTGTAATTGATCAGAGCTACCATAATTAATAATTAAAGGTCTTAGTAAATACTAGGGCTCCCTTATTATGGTTATTTCCTGAGTTAACAAGAACTTGGTAAAGTTTCGGGAGGGTCCTGGAACGCTGCAGGGCCCCGAGTGCTTTGAGGTTTAGGGCTTACGGGTCAAGGGCTTACGGTTGTTCGGCATGTGTAAGCCTTAGCCCTAATGCCTGAACCCTAAAGCCTAAGCCCTGAGCTCTCAAACCCTAAGCCCCTAAGCCCCTAAATCCCTAAGCCTAGTTTCTTAACCGTAAATCATACTGCTGATGGACAAAATCAGACAAAATCCTGCATGACCCTAAGGACTCTAAAGTATGGGAACTATGGCGTATTCCTTGCAATGGGTAATGCAGGTTTTTGTCCATCAAAGTAAGCCCTTGCTTCAGGAGCGCGGCTTCTTTGCCTCCAATCTCCTGGATCTGCAGAACCTGAGTAGCGACCAGGACCCTCCTCGGGGTGTTTATATACGGAGCCCAGGGGATCCTTCACAACATAAGATTTAGGGTCTAATTAGGCTTCAGGGTTCAGGGTTTCGGGTTCAGGCTTTAGGGTTGGGGGTTCAGGGTTTAGGGTTCAGGATTTGGGGTTTGGAGTTTAGGGTGCAGGGCCCCGAGAACGGACGGTTCCTTGTCGGAAGGCCTGTATCGATCATGTAAGGATTTTGCCAGGGTTCCTTCCAGCGAATGGAGTCTTGTTGGGGCCTTCATATGGGTGGTTGTCAAAATTAAGGTCCCTTTTTGGGCCCTTGTAATAATACGGCACCTATTCGTTAGTGTACCCAAAAAAGGGACCTTAATTTTGACAACCGCGCATATAATTGTGGTGATGTCCCTTGGAGCCCCTGTCCTAAACCCTAAGACCCTAGGCCCTAAGCCCTAAAGCCCTAAAACCCTAAGCCCTAAAAACCCTAAAGGCCCTAAACCCGAAAACCTTAAAACCCTAAACCCACAAGGTTATGCTCTGAAAGCCCCATGTGTGTTTCCCAGTTCAGAGTTTCCCTTTTGATTGGGTTGACGGTTTCGGGTCGAGGGTTCAGGATTTCAGGGTTTACAGAGACCCCTGGTGATGTCTAGTAGCTCCAAGGGTAAAAGGAGGGACCCGTAATAAGGACCCCTGGGTATATACCCTCAATATAGCTATTATATACCCATTATATAGCCTATTATAGGGCAGGGGTCCCCATTAAGGGTCCCTCCTTTCCCCCTTTGAGTAGACATCCCTCGTTACGCCCCAGAATGGTAGGGTGCTTCGTTCGAATCTCGAAGCCCACTCAGCGGAAGGGGGAGCTTGCAGTCAAGTGGTCTGTCGTACTGTTGATGATATAAATTCCTAGGGGTTCCTTTAAAGGGATCTATAGGGGTACCTTTAAGGGGTTCCCTTTAAGGGATCTATAGGGTTTTGGGTTTTGGGTGATGATATAAATCCTGCATTACCTTAAAGGCCCTAAACTATGGGAATTATGGTAGATTCCTTATTATGGGAAACCAAGAATTTCTTTCAGTAACCGTAGTAAGCGTTTGTAGGATTCTTTCTCGGGGACTCGCCAGTCAGGCCCCTCATGCAAAACCCTAAACCCTAAAAAGTTCAAACCCTAACCCTAAACCCTAAAAGCCCAGACCCTAACCCCTAAACCCTAAAACACCCAAACCCTAAACCGTGAGGGACAAGGATTTCGGGATCGAAAATGGAAACCTGAGGAGCCACAAAACCACCAGCAAAACCCCATAAACCCCAAACCCTGAACCCCGAACGATCACCTTCGAAACGACTGCCTAAAACGTGGGCCCTAAACCCCAAACCCTAAACCTAAGCCCTCGAACCTAAGCCTTAAACGCTAGACACCAGACCCTAAACCTAAGCCCTCGAACCTAAGCCTTAAACGCTAGACACCAGACCCTAAACCTAAGCCTTAAACCCTAAACCTAAGCCCTCGAACCTAAGCTCTCCATGCTTCACCCTTTGAAGGGCACCGGTGCCAGCAGCCCTGCAGCCGACGGTGCAGAGGACCAGACCTTGAGCTCTGGATGTTGTCTTTTTCTGAAGGTCTATACAATTTAGAGCCTAGAGTTGAGGGCTCAGGGGTTGAGGGGTTTAGGGGCTTCGGGGTGAGGGGTTTAGGGCTTAAGGTTTTAGGGTTTAGGGTCTTGAGTTTAAGTTTGGGGTTGGGATTTGCTCTAAACCCCAAACCATGTTTGAGCGTTGTTAGTGTGCGTAGGCTTCACAGCTTCTTGGTTTGGGATCTTCAGGTTTAGGGTTTGGGGTGTTCAGAGTTTCGGGCTTTTCGGGTTTAGGGTGGCTTTAGGGTTTTAGGGTTGTAGGGTTTCGGGTTTAGGATTTAGAGATTAGTGTTGTTTGGTTTTGTATTTTTTTGGTTTAGGGCTTTAGGGTGTAGGACTTTCGGCGTTCAGGGTTGAGGGGTGCGTGGTTGTTCTAACTGTAAGGCTCGAAGAACCCGGATTTTTCAGGAATTCAGGTGTCAAGACCATCTGTCAAACTTGGGCCGTCAGGACTTTTGTGCGGTTTGGAGCCTTCGGGTAAGGGGATGGGCGGGTTCATGTCTACGCGTCTTCACTGCGATGTCGTTGCACGGCCCGACATGGAAATCCAAGGTCATGCGCAGCTTCAGCCAGGACGAAGCCGATACCAACACAATAAACATTCCCTAAGGGTCCATGTACGCATATAGACGGCCCCAATGTACCTATATAGTGACTACATTAAGGCCAATGTATACACTATATGAGTACATGGACCCTTAGGGATTTCACAAACAGTAGTACCATGTCAGCAAGCGCGAACACACACGCACTCGCACCAAATCAGCAGACATATGCAAACGGTAGCAGAGCCATCATTGCAAGGGAGCAACAACCAACTCAGAGTCCTTATCTGCCGTGCTTGATCTTTAGTGCTCTGAAGCTATACCCCAGGGACCAAATAGTCCCTTCTTCTTGTGGGTTTTGGTACCTTAAAAGGGCCTATGGTCCTACATATGGCTTGGACCCTCTGGGATGGTGTCTCTTTGCTTCTTCAGTCTTCTCTTGTTGATTTTGTGTTCTGTTGATGATATTAATCCTGCATTACCTTAAGGACCCTAAACTATGTTAATTATCGTATATTCCTTATTATGGGTAATGCAGGATTTATATCATCAACCGGTTCCACTCGAGGGAGAATGTCAGCGCTCATCCGATGCCATGGTGTTTTAACACACCTGCACCGTATACAACCCTCCCAAACAGTCCCCGGATGGGATTCGCATCTATATGTGTTCAAAACATGGCGTTGCTTTGGTCCGTGAATCAACCTGCCAGCAGTCAGAAGCGCGTGTATGTAGCCTCAAGCTGCCATACGAATAAGAAATAAGTGAATGACGTGATTGAAAAATCGACAACAGCGCTCCCTTAGTATTGCATTTCTTCTTGTTGTTTTGTTCATATCATTCATGCAATTCTTGTTCTGTCATTCAAATTGGGAATAGATATTATGGTTATGGTTTCCACCCGTATTGCTACTATTGTTGTTAGTGTTGCTGTTGTTACTACTGTTGTTCTTACTACAAACTATCATGTTTGTTTTATTGCGAAACCTTTTATACTTATGACTATGTATTTTCTCATCGTCTTAGTTGTAGTACTATTCAGGTTCTGATTCATACATACATTCTTTATTCGAACTCTCTCTCTCTCTATATATATATATGTATATGTATATGTATATGTATATGTATATGTATATGTATATGTATATGTATATGTATATGTATATGTATATGTATGTATGTTTATGTTGCTTAGGTGTTGTGACTGCTGTTACACTTGCAGGGTGGGAACTTCGTGGCTATGCTAACTTCGATTGCTCTGCTTGGGGCAGCTCCGGGGCTTTTAAGGCCCAAGCGTCTTGAGAAAAGCAACAACCCGAAACCCGAAAGTCTTCAACGGGTTTAGGGTTTAGGCGTTTTGGGTTTAGGGTTTAGGGTTTGGGGGTTAGGGTTTAGGGATGTTTAGGGTATGATATCGGGGCTTATCTTACCTTTGGTTAGAAGGAATGGGGTGCAACTATAGCTACTATTACCACCATTCTTCCATTCTACAGGTTGTCACAAGGAACCGCAGGAGCCCAAAACCCTACATCTCACGAGCATGGGGTCGAAATAGCTGCGAACACAATGTTGGGATGCTTGTTTGAAACTTACCCCAAACCGCGTTCTAGTAGTGAGGCCTCTATATTAGTTGTTGCTGGTGAGGACTCCGGAGTGACGACAACACTGCGGAATGTGGAGGTTGAAGACATCACCTTGAAGCTGCTTTCCTCAAGGGGTTTAGGGGTTTCAAGGGAACTCCAGAAAGTTGGAATATGGTTTCAGGGTAGGATACCTTATAATTTACCATAAAGGGCTTAGAATCATATTCCAACTTTCTGGCTTTTATTTTAGGGTTTATTCAGGAAGCTACTTTTCTCAGTTCAAGCTGCCTTCCGGATCAACGGGACCTCTTAGAGTGCAGGGTTTCGGGTTCAGGCTTTGGGGTTCAGGGGGTTAGGGTTTAGGGGTTCCGCTGTAGCGTTTTCCAGAGAAAGCCCCATGTGCCCTAGATGGGATGATGTTCGGGCCTCTGCATTCCCATACCGAGCCCATCAAGGTTAGTTATTGTCTTTGTGTTACCTGTTTGGGCACTTGGCTTACTGTAGAAGTCAACCTAATATTGGAGTTTCAGAAAACCAGGGTGCCTCATTTCAGGATCCTAAACCCTAAACCGTAAATATGAGGCCCTTGTTGAAAAGATGCCAGGAGGGCGCTCTGTACCAGCGCCCTGTGTTGTCTGAAGCTCCAATCTTGTGGGCCGGAATGATTCCTACCAGTCTCCCCCCGGAAAGCTCCCACATGTGTATATATATATATATATACACATATGTATTTGTATACTAATTGTATATACATGCATGTAGCTATACTGTGAAATGCCCCAAACCCTACGTATTCAAGTTATTGAGGCTTGCTTTGAAGGTTGGGGGACTTCAGATGCATGCTGTAAGAAGAGCTACAAGGGGCTTCTAGTGGGGTAGCCCCAAACCCTGAACCCAACCGAGGTGAGGGTCGAGTTTAGGGGGGCGAGCTTCGGGCCTACTTGGAGGCTCATGGGTAGTTATAAGTGGGGTTATAAGTAAGATATGTTTAATAGTTTTGCCCAAATTATGGGACATGTAACCCTACCTCCAGGTAGAGTGTTGAATCCAGGTTTGCCTCGTACCTGCTCGCGGGCTGCGGGCCGCGTGCTATGGCTCCAGACATCCATTACGACAACTTCGAGGACCCTAAAACTCCGGTGGGCTTTTACTTATCTAGGACCCAGAGTAGGCCCTTATTCCCTTTTTTGAGGCCTAGGTTCCCTTATAAACCACCTTTAAACCAAAAAGGGCACCCTTTTTATTCCTAGGTTACTCTTAGGTCTAGTTATTGGCTGTAAAATCAAATGTTCAACTTTTGTGGTTCTTATACGGAAGTCGATTCTGAAAGTCTCAACTTTTGTTCCCTTGGGTTTTGGGCCAGTGGGTTTATAAGGGCTCTACTGTGGTTCTATGATGGTTCATATGGGTGTATATACGGGTTCTTCCTATGATTCGATGATGTTTTGCGTTGCACCCGGAGTAGGCGTTTATGCCTTTTCTTCAAGGTTTAGCTTCGTTTAAGAGTTCCTATAGGGGTTCCTATAAGGAATCCACAGGGTTCCTTCAAGGGATTTCTAGTTCCCTGTGGCGGCTTAAGGGTTCCTATCTTTCCAATGCCCCTGGACGACAGGTGTCCGTCTTAACAAGCAGGGCTTCAGGCTTTAACAGAGCATCGCCGCGATAATCTCAGGATGATGTTCTTGATTAAGGTTCTATATATGCCTAAATCCCGAGCGCCCTTTTTTAATGTAAGTTCTGCTCCTGAATTCAGGGGGTTGGTGTCGCACATTACAAACTGTAAGACCAAAGGAAGCGATGGAGGCATCAGCTACGACCTCGTCGTTGATTCCAATGTCGCTTGATTGCGAACTCTGTTCTTTGCAGTTCAGTGGTCATCCGCTAAGCCTCAAGCGGGTGGTTGTCAAAATTAGGGTCCCTTTTGGGTCCCTATTATACTACGGCACCCATTATTTGGGGTACCGCAAAAGGGACCCTAATTTTGACAACCACCCAAGCGACAGCCCAACAGCTTTTGGTGGAGTGTGGTCTTGGCTCCACACGCTTCAACTATCATCCCTCAGAGCCTTAGGATACGGGTCACCTCTGCTGTCGGTGGTATACTACAACATGTGGGTGGGTGTCAAAATTATGGTCCCTTTTTGGGTCCTAATTTTGACAACTACCCATGAAGTACTTGCAACGGTTTTTGACTTAGTACAAGCAATTTGTTTTCCTGATTAGCGAGTCGAAAGCGCGTCCGAGTAGTGACCGATTTCGGCTTGTGAAGCACACCCGATTGATTCCTATACGGGCTTGAATAGCTAGAGAGTGGGGCACATGCCTCCAACATCCTCAAACCCTAAGCCCGTAAATCCCAGGGCTTCTAGGACCCAGAGTAGGCCCTTATTCCCTTTTTTGAGGCTTAGGTTCCCTTATAAACCCCTTTAACCCAAAAAGGGCACCCTTTTTTTCCTAGGTTACTCTTAGGTCTAGTTCCAAGTTACACTAACAGGGCTCTTATTAACTGAAAGTAACGTCATGAACCAGAACCCAGACAGCTCTAAACCCTCGATCCCACATCCCTATTCCCTAAGCCAACAATTTGAGCCTGAGCGAAGACACCTCTAACGAACGATAAGTTCGGCCTAGGATGCATGGACCCAGGGCTTCAGGGGTTTTGTGCTTATGTAAGGGTATAGGATCCAGGGTCCCTGGTGTAGCCATCTGGGGTTTGCCAAAGCTCTCCAATTTAGTTGCTGTCTTGGTCGACCGAGCTGATGGTAAGGATCCTGCAGCAAGCAAGGCCTCCAAGAATTGAGCTGATACAGTTTGAGTAATCCAGGTAGGCCTTTGGGACATTTTTTGTTTTCGCTTATTGGTCTTAATAGGACCCTATTTACGAATATCTTTCAGAGGCTTTAAAGGGCCAACCAAGTAGCGAAAAATGGAGTTGGATGCCTAGACGTACTCTTGCCCCTGCGTTGTAAACTGACACTACACCCCCCAAACACTACTATTCCAATTCTCAAGGAACCAGTATTACAGCTGATTTTCTAGGCACAACATCCTTAAGAGGAAATACAGGGCGGGTGGGGTCGAAGCCCCAGGCTCATCCTGACCTTAGTGGAGAGCGTGCTTGCAAGTCTGCTGGGGAGGCAGGTTCAGGAGGAGGGTTTGGGTTCAACGAAGGTTGAGACTTCCTCTTAGGGTTTAGGGTTTAGGGTTTAGTGTTTAGGGTTACTATTTGGGAGAGAATATCTCTAAGGCTCTTGGAGACTTTGTTACTTTGTTCCTTTTTTGGTTCCGGTCTTCTTTTATAGGGGTCTCCGAAAAAGTAGTTTTTTGCTTACCTTCCAAGGGGAGTAGAGTTGGGTTCAACGAAGGTTGAGACTTCCTCTTAGGGTTTATGCTAAGGGTTCCTTTCAATTTGCACAAGGGATCCAAAAGGACTTAGGGGCTTGGGGTTGCGGGTTGCTGAAGGGCGTTTTAGCCCCGGCTTATCGGAAGAAGGGGTGGGGTTCAGAAAGAAGGAGGGATGCCTAATTAATAGCAAGTTAGCAGCGATAGTGCAACGGGTCCGTCTTATAGTAAGAGTGTAGTCTACCTCAAAACCCTGTGGCAATTGCAGTATGTATCGGCAAATTAGCAGCCATTTCTGGGGTTCCTTATTATGCTAAGTAAGAGCATAACGCACTGCAAAGCCCTGTTGAAATGTATGTGTAGATACTGCAGCAGCCTCCTTAGTCAACCGCTTATTGCTCCCTCGAACGGAGTGGCTGGGGTTTCGGTTTAGGGTCTAATTAGGCTTTAGTCGCATAAGTAAGGGCTCTTTAAGAGCTTGCTAATAAATTTAGTGGTAGCTCTGATGATGCTTACGCACCCATTGAATCCTTAATCCTAAACCCCAAGCTCTTCCACCGCGGACCTTACGTAAATCTCCACACACATCCAATGACATAATGATAATTAGTGTTCTGTGACCCTGTGGTTGTGCTTTGATTTTCACGGATACACGCTGGTCGTTTGGGATTAGCAGATCTGACACTTCACAGACTCGACTACCTCCCCAAGAAACTCAAGGGCCCGTGCAAGAGTCGGTTGTGTTTGAGGTGCAAGCCGTGATGCATGCATTAATGAAGCTTGAACTCCAAAACGGCAAGATCCTCCATGTCCGGACGGAGATTGCTCTCCAGCATGATAGCTGAGCCAATGACATGGCAGAGATTGTTTGCAAGAACAGATAGCTGATAGTTCGCCGGCAGAGCAGCCTTGCGGCGAAGATGGTGCCGTAAAGGAAGCGACGGGACTTTGCCCGTTTCTGTGTGCAAAGGTGCAAGCACCTGAGTGCTTGTCCTGGCGAGAGGATATTATCGGGGAGCAGCTCAGCCCGTATGACCACTACTATCCTTATTATAACTGCAAAATAGTATAATCTATCCCCCCAACCCTATTTCCAAATATTGAGGCCCTGTACATGGGTTTGTTGCAGGATGCCAAGCCCTGGCAGCGAGTCTCTCTCAGAGATTTGCAGTTTCTGAAAATCATTGAAGTCTAGAAGGCCGAAGCCTTGTAAGCCGAGACCCAAGAAAAGTTCACACAAGGCTGATAATTTCAGGGCCGGAAGACTTGGCATATTCAGGCCTAGTATTTCCTTGTAGTCCGCTTGTTCTGCTGGCATACCCTCGCAAAGCAGCATTTCCAGTATGAACGCACTTTGCATTGCATCTTGCATGCATCTTGATACCCTCTCAGTCGCATCGGTCCTGTTGCAGAGCCGTGTAGGCTCCGGAAATGTGGAGTGGACCGCGATTAAATTCGGCGGAGGGTTTAGTGCCAGGGTTTATAGGTGCAAAGCTTAGAGTTTAAGGAAGCCCCATATGGTTTGCAGAGGATATCACCCAGTCAAGGTAATTTTGGCTTTGTGGGTATGGCATGTGAGAAACGTGGTTTGAGGGTTTCGGGGTCGGGTTCCTCTGAAGGTGCAATGACTCCGCATGTTGCATGCTCACAGAGGGTCCATGTGCACTACGACTATGGACTTAGGTCTCGAAAGACCATCTTGTTATGGATTTGGGGCCTAATTCCATGATGGTAGTGTATATGATGGACCCTCTTGGTAATCCCCAAACCTATAGAATAAAACCCTAATAAGAACCCTTACAGAACCTTTCTAGGTAGTGTAATGCACCCTCTGGGAATTGTTGCCTTAACCCTAAACCCTAAACCCTAAACCGCAGCTTGCGGAGGCAAGCCACGCAGGCGATCTTGTCTGCGACTTCTGGTGTGGCGGCTGGGAATTCAAGGATCCTAACAGTTAGGGTTGAAGGTTTAGGGGCGTTTATGGTATAGGGTGGGTTTCAGGTTTATGGTTTAGGGTTCAGGGTTTAGGCTTAAGGGTTTAGGGAGGGTTTCTTGAAGGGTTCTATACTCGAAATACTAGAGGGGTTACAAGAAGGGTTCCATAAGACTTTAATACCGAGTAGTAGCTGAGTAGGTTAATTAGCCTCCTTTGGCCTAGGGTTTGGGGTTTAGGGTCTATTGGTTTAAGGGTTTAGGGGTTTAGGGTTTCGGGTTTAGGGGTTTAGGGTTTAGCATAGTCAGATCCTTAGGTCCCAACCGTTTCAACTTGCACATGGGTTCTACTAGGTGTTAGAGTTCAGGACTCGATAGACGTAGTGTACATCCCACATGCGCATGCTATTTATGTACGTTTGCATAAGGGGTGCTGAAGCAGGACTTTCGGTTCAGTACGGTTTACTTTTTTCCCTCTGGGTTTTGCAAGTGCTCAGCAATTTCGTGCTTTGGTCTAGGCGAGTACCGTAAAGGACCAAATGACCCTTTTTGAGGAACAGTTCAGGCTCTACAGCCATATAAACCATGAATCCCGATGTGATATTTGAACCTTAAACCATTTCGGAGCTCATGTCGTCTTTAAGGTAGTACTCCCAGGTCTGCAACTAAGCAAGTAAGGATCCGTGCTGGTTTGGGCGTCACGTTTGGGTTGAGGGGTTTCCAGGAATCGGGGCGGAGGGTTTCGTTTGTAGATGTTTGTAGGACTCGCGGATTTAGGGTCACTTAACATCCGAGGGTTCAGGGTTCTGGATTCAAACTTACACAGTCCCCCAAACCCTAAGCCCCATAGATCCCTTTAAAGGAGCCCTTAAAACAACCCTTATAGGACGAATCCTTAAACGAGCCCTTATAGATTCCTTGAAAGGAACCCGTTAAAGGAACCCTTGTAGATCCCCTTAAAGGAACCCTTAAAGGAACCCTTGTAGATCCCTTGAGCTCAGGCCAGATTGGCCACGGACGCGATCTACCACTTAGCCTCTCGGCCAATCATAACTTTGGGTTTCGGAGGATCCTCGAAGCTCGAACCCTAACTCCTTAAATCTCGTGGTTTAGGGTTTGGGGTTTCGGAGGATCCTTAAATCTCGCGGTTTAGGGGTTTAGGGTTTAGAAATTCTTGTACACTCGTATAGTATAACCCCAAGGAGCTATGAATGATGGCGGTGTCTCTATCATTATTTTGGGCCCAAGTGCCCGCAGACCCGAATTCATTTGAAGCCTTAATGCCGAAACGCCAACCATGTTGCGAGCAATCCAAAAAGAAGGATTCCGTCATCTGCCCCGGAAGGTCCAAGTATCCGCAGTAGTACCTGCTGTAGTCCCAAATGCTTTTGGTATTGGCGGTGCCGGGGCTCTCTGTTCTTTCGCCCGACTGCGCCGGGGGATGGTCGCCATCGGACCGCCACAGCAGCCCGAAGTGATCAGAGGCTCTTACCTTGCCCTTGCCAGGGCCAGGGCCCAGGCCGCCAAAAGAAAGAAGAAGAGCAGTAGGGTTTATGGCTTAGGGTTAGGTTGTTGGAAAAACAGCTCTACTTCAAAGTCCTGGAGGAGGAGGGCATCATCCTCGACTAATGCCGGCCACAAGGGTAATCGGTACTGAATGCTGCCATCGAGGGTTCTCAACGACGGCACGAACTCAGACTCTCAACTCCCTGATATCGGTGTCGACTCTGTCGACTCATTGGCCATCAGGACGTCCCAATTGCAAGCGATGTTCCCCGCTTTCTGCAGTTTGGCGCAGAAATCTTGCTGCTTCATTATTATAAGTTTAAACTAACCATTCAGGCTTTCAGTGTGTAGGTTCTTCTGGCGGAGGCCTTAATACGGTGGTCAAAATTAAAGTTCCTTGTGGGTGCCCTAAATATTAGGTGCCTTATTATTTTATTACTATTATTATTATTCTTATTATTATTATTATTATTGTAAGGACCCGAAAAGGGACCCTGATATTGACAACCACCCATATGTTGAACAGAACTTGTTGTATAGTGGTATGTTACACTGTAATTAGAGTAGGAGGAACCCACGGACTAGTGGCTGTTATTTGTTGGAACCCCATATTCGCGTGCATGGTGCCGCTTCTGGCATGGGATCGCTTTCTTTTTTCGGCTTGTGGTCACGACACGAGTACTACAGAGCAAAACTCATCCTAAAACCTAAACCCTATAACCCCATTATTCCTAAACCCCTAAACCCCTAAACCCTAAAGCCCAAACCTCTCAGGAAATCCTCAACCATAATGGGAGCCTCTGTCTCCGCGGTTTCAGCTGTAAGGCCCCAAGCCGCAGCACCGTTTTGCCTTGAGGAGAAAGAACTACAATCGAACCTCTTCTTGGAGGTTCATAGGTAGTTATAAGTAGGGTTATAAGTCCCCTAATATCGGTTATAGCTATAGTTATCCTACTTATAACCCCACTTATATTGTAACTACCCATGAACCTCCAAGTTTCGGGTTTGGCACTTCGGACTTAGGGTATAAGCGATCACTAAGCCTGGATCCTCCGTAGAAACGGAGCTGCTTTGAGCCCGAACTCCGAAACAGCAACAACTAAAACGTCAACCTATTTGATGATATAAACCCTGCATGACCCATAATAAGGAATATACCATAATAGGACAAACATCCAGATGATATAAATCCTGCATTACCTTAAGGACCCTAAACTGTGGGAATTCTGGTATGTTATGGGTAATGCAGGATATGTATCATCAACAGTAGGACCCCTACTGTGGAGACCCTAACCCGGAAGCTCCGTGTAAACAGCAATAGCGGACATATTTAGGCCTGGAAGTACTTCTGTACGAACCCCTTAGTGAAAGCCTAAGTATACACTATATATGACCCTAAGGCTCCATGTACCCATATAGTAAAGACTTAGGCCTTAAAGTAGCCAGAAAGGGATCCCTTTAAGGCTGAAGTATCTACTATAACAAAGCTACATGGAGCCTTTAGGTGAGCATGGACTCTGAAGGAATCACACGGTTGATGATATAAATCCTGCATGACCCATTATAAGGAATATACCATAATTCCCATAGTTTAGGGCCCTTAAGGTAATGCATGATTTATATCATCAACAGTATTCAACCCCAGGCCCAGAATCAGAAGAGAGCTCTGCGTTCCCCTGACTACCCAGGCGGCGCTGTTGGCTTATTGTTTCGAAAATGTCTTCTGCCGCTGCTGCCGCGGCCGAGCCTTTCAGCTCAAGCCTAACCTTATAAGGGTTCAACTAGTCCTTGTTTTTGGTTTTTGATATTTAAAACAAAGGCCCCAAAGTCCTATTATGAGGATTGCTTGGACCCGCTGGGTAAAGTTAACGCCATAAGGGCTTCGTGACACGGTATTCTTAGGGTCCCGGTATCGTTTCAGGTATCAAGTTCAGGGTGAGGTTTGGGCTGTAGGCTCTAGAGGCTACAACATGCTTATGGGAGTTTCCGAAAATAGGGGGACCCTAATTTAGTGCCCTAAATAGTAGGCTCCTCCTTGTAAGGACCCCAAAACAAGGCACCCCTAATGTTCGGAAACTCCCATATAAAGCATTTCTCTGCTTGGAGCTTGAACGAGGGGCTTCCTTAGGGCTGGACGGTTTGGTGCTTCAAAGTTCAGGGGTACCCCGCAGAATATTCGCGCTGCCCTATGCTGCAAACCCGGAACCCGCTACGTCAAGTCCATGCTTCAAAGAGCTGCAGCAACGAGAAGTTGGAAATATCAGAATCACGGAAAATTCTGACCCTATGTCCTTTCTTGAAGAGGTATTCTAGTACTAGGTATGTACGAGCTATCATCTACCTAGAGATTAAGGTCACGTCCGCTTCAAGAACTGAAGCGATAAACAGAGCCAGGTGAGGCCCAAAAACACTAAGCCCCTATACGACTCTGCATGAAGCCACCTCATTGTACTGTATTTTCAGGGTCCTGTACTCAGTTTCTAGTGTCCCATCATTCCTTGATTTGGTTTTGCGTCTTGAGATACATACAAGAGTTGGAACCAATCCGGCAGCCGAAATTTTCTCGAAGCCGGCTAGCCAAGAGGAGCCTTCTGCCATCCGCGAGAGGAAGAGCTCTGCGAAACTGGAGGCAGGCTGATTTAGCTCACCCCATGCATTGAAAGAGCAGATATATAGAATGTGTATCTATGCAACACCTGTTATATACACATATACGCCACAGATGCCTAAACCTTATACACTGCAAACAAGCGTATGGAGCTGGAAAAGGTGATCAAATAAGGACATAGCAGAATCAACGAGAGTTTTACGGTAGATAGGAATGGAAACAAAGATGCACGCAGGTGCGCGTTGTGGAAGGGTTTGGGATTGCAACTCCCTTGCCGACGCTAATATACAGGTCTTAAATATTTCAATAGGGCTTAATATTATACTATAACGAGAATAAGGAACCCCCCGAAACCCCATTCTAACGATTAAGGCCCCTGTCTTATAGAACCTACTATAGATCCCTCATAGAGCACTTTAAGGAACCCTTCAAAGGGAACCCCAGTCAAATTATGAAGGCCCCTACAGTAGTCCCACAAAGGGGCGAGGAGCCTTGCATATGAAGCCTCGCCAGAGCGTTTTCTATAAGGGATCTATAGTAGGTTCTACAGGGGCCTTAATCATTTGAATGGAGTTTCGGGGGGTTCCTTATTATCGTTATAGTATAATATGGCCTAAGCCCTTCTGCGATGTTGACGAAGGTTCAGGCTTTAGGGGTTTCGGGGTTTAGAGTTTCAGGGTTTTAAGGTTTAAGGGCATAGGATTTAGTGGTTTAGGGCTTAGGACTTACTGTTTAGGAATTTAGGGTTGATAATTCAGGCACTAGGTTTTTGGAGTACATCATACCAAATAGTTAAAAGGACAATGAGGGTGTATTTTTACTGATAACCCTAAACCGTAGTAGAACCTAAACCCTAATCCCTAAACCCAATAGTTCAGGTACTGCCTCCATACAGTAAGAGTCTATAATAGGTCTACTATTCAGGTCCTTAATATGTCTATTGTACTGAGTGAGGGCCGTAAACCCTAAACCCTAAAACCCTAAAACCCAAAGCCGTCAACCCTAAGACCCTCAAACCCTAAACCCTGATCCCTGAACCCTATACCCTATTCCCTAAACCTTAAAACCCTAAACCCCTAAACCCCTAAACCCTAAACCCTAAACCCTAAACCCCTAAACCCTAAACCCTAACCCCTAAACCTTAAAACCCTAATAGTCTTGTCGTTTGTCCAAACCGGCCAGGACAAGCGAGGGCAAAGCGAGGCTGCAGCGCGCCGGCGGCAGCTCTTGGGGTGCTTCTCAGGTGCCTCGGGTGGTCGGTTTAGGGCTTAGTACGCCTAGGGTTTAGGGTTTGGGGCTTAGGGCTTATATGCTTACCTTATCCCATAATAACTACTACCTTTTTAAGGACTTATATAAGGAAATCATAGTACGGAACCTAAACAGGTAGGTTATTGGTGGTAAGGTAGGGCTTAGGGTTTAGGGCTTAAGGCTTATGTGGGGTTTTGGCTTTCGGGTTGAGGCTTTGTTACGGGAAGTTTAAGTTTTTTCCGGAGATTTTGAATTTTTAGGTCAGGGTCCATGATTTGGGAGCTTTTCTAATTTTTTCGGTTTGCGGCTTTAGACATGGGTCGGGGTTACCCTGTTGTTCCCTTTGCCGGGGGTTGGACCCGAAAACCGAATTAGCCAACCAACGGTCATTTTGGAGGGCAATGTACGGGTCTGAACAATTACCAACCGTGTTCTGTGACATACTCCTTGGGATTCTGTAAAGTAGTTATGTGTAGTTATACTATAGTATACCACAACAAACCCGAAATCTCTTCCAACTGTTAAGGCTGCTACCGCTATACTAGAGCATTCCCAAACCCCAAACCCGAAACCCTAAACCCCAAAGCTGAGCCCCGTACTATCAGTTACATTCCAAGATCAGTGATTGAGCTCTCTAGAGAAAAGCCCCCCTCTTCGAAGACGACTTGCGTGAGCCAGGCGAGACTGAAAATCATGCGAAACTTCATAAGCATCTTCGAGAAGCCAACCCGAGGAGGGACAAGCTGATGGAACATGACCCAGAGATCCATGTCATGTCAACAGCGCTACCGCTGCCACAGGGAACTATGGTGGTCGCAACGCATGACGCTTGCAAGATCGAGACGTCGGCAGCTCGTGCTTCATTCTTTGCTAGGCCCAAGACGACAGCCGACTGTGTGAACATTGCACAGCTGGCATACAGAAGGTGGTATGGCTATCCACAAACCTGGACTCTCCATCTACCCTCTATTAGACCCTAAATGCCCCTTATTTGGGACCATATACCCCTGTTTGAGGGTACAAGGAGGGTCCTGGAAGATGTATGGTTTAGATTCGGGCTTATGACTGCAGGAACTTGGGTTCAGACCTTCCAGGTTTGTTTAGTTTTTATCATTTAGTGTTGCTTTATGTAGTCGGGTACGGGTTTCGGGTTCACTGTTTGGGGCTCAGACTTTAGTCAGGTGTTCTTGTCTGACATCCGGGGAGGGTTTAGGGTTTAGGGTTTAGGTTTCTGAGTGGCGTTCTGGTCAGTGCTGAGTGACATTTGCTTCTTGCGGTTTCGCGCCTTAGATGGTTGGGTTTCGGGTTTATCGTACGTAGGTAAGTAGGGCTTGGGATTTATTGAATCCGAGCCATTTAGGATTTATCAACTTTGCGGTGGTTGGCAGAAGCCCAGCATTAGGATCCCTTCTTACTATAATTAAACCGCATGTTTAAGGGAGGGGATGTTAAAATGATCACAAGGTCATTCCTTCCTGAGCTGAAAACACGGTTGTTTCTGTTATGTTTCTCACAGGGAACTACCCCTGACACCTGAAGATTTAAAGACTCGTGAACCCATATGAAACCTTATAAAAGCCGTATAATAAGAGGTGTGGCACCTGAGAACATCCACAAATAAAGCCCTTACCCAGCCCCTCAACCCTGCAATGCCAATTGTTTCTGTTCTCTAACCAGGATACTTTATTTTTCAAGAGTCTAGGGCCTTACACTTAAAACCTTCTATCTAATGAGTAATCCTACACCCTAAACCCCAAACCCAAGCCGACAAACAAGACATGTGCTGAACTCCCGAACGCTGTGTGCGAGCGCTGGATGCTGCGAGGCTGCTTACCCGGACAATCCTTGCTGCACAGCGGCCGGTGAGCGTTTCAGTTTACAGTAAGTCCCATAAAGTTGGAAACCGGATTAAGGCCAAATAGTGCTGGGATTCCTTATACCTTACTCTTAAGGATTGAGGCTATGGGGTTTCCAACTTTTGGGCTTCTACTGTAGAGTATCGCTAGATCGCCTTTACGATGGAACCTTCCCCTACGGCTCGAGCTTTATGCCCAGACCCAAGCCTTCATAACCTCTATAATCTATATAATCTATAGTAAATCGCTGGGTTTCAGAGCTTCGTCTTCGGGGTCTGTGACAAGTTTCACACCGTGGCTTTAGAGCTGTGGGGCCGCTGTGGGGTAAAAAACAACGGGCAGAACATGCACTGAGGGTTCGAGGTTGCCTACGATACCCAAAGCCCCCTCAACCCAGCGACCACGGTTATCACAAGACCCCCTTGTTAACGTGAAGCAGAAGTGAACAAATCCTTGCCTGCCAGCTGAGAGGCTTACAGAATTCCAAACCCAAAGACTCCAATGGCCCTCAATTAAGGAATAGACCCCCAACTATATAACTTAAGGTCTATTTCGTAATGAGGTATATTCTAGGACCCAGAGTAGGCCCTTATTCCCTTTTTTGAGGCTGAGGTTCCCTTATAAACCACTTTAACCCAAAAAGGGCACCCTTTTTTTCCTAGGTTACTCTTAGGTCTAGCAACCGAAAAGTCGGTAGAAGGAACTCTCCGCTGCGATTAAAGGACTAATGAGGGGCCGGTGTCTGAGGTAGGAGGGTTTAATATAACCCTAAGACCCACGTGCCCAAACTGTTTCTACTTTGGGGCCCCTGAGTACCTTTGAGGGATTACTTTCCGGCCAAGGTATACACATGGATCCTTGGGGAAACTTGCAGTATCATGATCTGAGGGTCTATCTGTTAGGGCATAATATGCCCCAAACCCTATCCGAATTTCAGGCCTCTTTGTGAGGACCCTGTCGATGTCCCTTTAAAGGGTAATCGTGGTGAAGTCTGGTTACGCACAGCCATTTGAAGGCATGGATCTTGAAGCACTGCTGGGTAGCTATAAGTACCTTAACCTACCAAAACCTACGTGTTTGTAGGGTCCCTATAAATTCTCTATTAGGGTTTATAATAATAACCTACAAAAAAGTAGGGTTTGGTAGTTTAAGGTAGGGCAGCGAAAGTTATAATCCATCGAGCTAAGAAAGTGAACCCTATACCCTGGACCCACAAACCCCAAAACGCTAAACATAAACCCTACACGCCCCCAACTATAACTTAATCCTAAACCCTAGACGCCCTGTATGGGAAACACGAAGAAAATGAAATTAGGAGGGGAAGCGGAAAGGTTGGAGGCTCGTGTGAATGCTGAGCTGCAACCAAGCAGGGATGCTTCGGTTCTCGGGGCAGGACTTTTCGGTTGTCAATGTAGGTCCCTTACCTGTAAGCCAAACCCTACAGAATAGCAAGTCATAACCTCTAAGAATATGCAAAAAGTGTAGCCTACGAGGAAGTTGGTGAACCATAATTCGTAATCGCTAAGCCCTGGAACCTCACGCCCGACTAACAAGCCGTAATATCAAGACCCAAAATGTCCTAAGCTCTTGGCCCGAAAGTTCCCCTAAGTTGCAAGAGCTGTGAAGCCACGGCTAAATTGTTAGGTCTTGGGGTTTCGGGCTTTCTGTTTACGGTTTCGGGTTTCAGGCGTAGGGTTTACTGTTTAGGCTCTCGGGTTTATAGGTTGTAGGGTTTCTGGTTTAGGGTTTCGGGTTTAGCACCATGACAGGCTTCAGACAGGCCGCGGCCAGCAGCTGGCTGTCGATACTCCTGACTGCTCCGGCCCTACGCAGAGCGGCGTAGGTTTGGGGTCTACCGGTTGGATCCAAGATCAGTTAGGGGCTGTACTCTACAGCAAAGGTCACAACTCATGACCTACTATTTTCGGTGTTTTTGGGCCACAGGTAGGGTAGACTAGGCCCTAAGGTCATAACTCATAATAGACTATTTCTTGAGGTTTGTGGCTCTAGGCCGCGTAGACTAGTACTAGGGCAGGTAAGGTTTTCATTTTCGTGTCCAGGTTCGGGTCGTTCAGCAATTGTGTGTCTGGGGGGCTTCGTGCCGTTTGAATCCCGCAAAGAACATGGGGTAATCATGAATCATGCAGGTTCCCTCCGCTTCAGTTGCACTGGGGTGATGCGGTTAATTAGTCATGCTCCAATGAACGGCCTTCGGGGGCCGTTAATGTCGACCTTGGACAGTAACGGTTCAGGGTTTAGGAAGAGGATCCCGAATTCTCTCTCAGTATACGGAACACGACGCAAGGTACAGCTGGTGTCTGAAGACCCAGATGGCACGAGAGTTTGTCACCATGCGGCTTTATCACCGACAGCTGCCCAGTAAAGCACACACCATGGAGGAAGATCGCTCAGGCATGCCAGGAGTTCCAGTTCAGTGACTGGCCCCATGATGGGCCAACAACCGTGCACTAGCTCATCGAGCACAAGGACATGAAGGGGGAAAACCCCAAATTGCGTTTGAAGGTCTGGAGGGTTTGTTAAGAACCCAGAGACTCCAATATCCCTTAATTAAGGAAAATACCTTAACTCATAGTTGGGGTCCTACTATATTCTAAGGTATATTCCTTAATTCAGGGATCTTGGAGTCTCTAGGAACGACCGTGCTAAAGCCTGAGCTAAAGAGGGTGTTCTCGGTTGATGGTATAAATCCTGCATGACCCATAATAAGGAATATACCATAATGCCTATAGTTTAGGGTCCTTAAGGTAATGTAGGATTTATATCATCAGCCGTTTGCGAGGCGTTGCAATCGGAGGCAGCTTGGATTGCCTCAACCTTCCGGTCCTTTTTCGTGCACGGAGTGGCGGCTTCAGAGCATACGGCCCAGAGACCCCAATGTCCCTTATGATTAACCCAGAGGGTCCATATACACTACTATCATGGAAGTAGGCCCTAAAAGACCATCCCCATTATGGTTTTGGGGACCTAATTCCATAATAGTAGTGTATATGGCATATGGACCCTCTGGGTAAGGAATACCCTAAGGGTCCAGGTAGTCCTTATTTATGGTTTTTGATACCTAAATAGGCCCCAAAGTCCTGTAATTGGGAGTACTTGGACCCTCTGGGATATACTTAGATTGTGGTAGGATCCCTATTATATGCCTGACGGCACATTCCTGAATTAAGGGATATTGGAGTCAAAGGTTTCTGGAGTAACGATGGCTGGACGACGGGGTGAAGAGCTGGGCTGCCAGGAAAGGATCGGAGGAGGTAGAACTTCACCACGCTCGGAACTGGATGAAAGAGCTCCGGCAGGGAATGAAATGTACAATATTGTAATGAACTGTGAATGTAACATACTGTCATGCAATGGAATGTATTGTGCTGTAGTGTGTGTATATGTATATGTGTGTACATATGCATATATATATATATATGTATAGAAAGTTGTGCTGGCTTGTTTGGGGTTGGACCTAGTTCATCCTTATCAAGCCCGAAAACTTTAATTATCGGAGCGTAGGATGTTCAAAGCAAAGCGCGCCTGCACATAATGGGATTGCAGAATGGACTTCTGGATCCGTATGAAACCCGAAAAACCTAGCATGTGCTTCGGATGTTGAGAACGAAGCGTGCCTCACATACGACGATTAGTGTATTCAACCCGCCAAAGATGGATTTCGGTTCTTAGGTCAGCAATGGTAAAATATGGACCTACCCTCCATCAGACAGTCAGCGCATCGTTGAAGTTCTTTTGGGTGTAGGGTTTCAGGGTTACCCTAAGGGTCCAAAAGATCTGATAACTAGATACTTGTGATTATGCTAATAGTCTAGGATGCCCAGTACTGCCCTTATTCCCTTTTTTGTAGTCCTAGGTTCCTTGCAAGGCTACCCAATACCGAAAAGGGAGACTTTTTTTTTTTATTCCCAGGGTATCCTAATTATTATGCCAATAGTTGTGTAGGTCCCCGAAGCCGAAAGCGTCCCCTAGTAGTAGAGTAAGTTTCCTTTAACCTTTTTGGGGTAGTATAGTCCCTATATAATCCCTATGTAACCAAACAGGTTAACCTTTAGTTCCCCATGATAATTACCCGACAAGTAGGGTCCCCGTATCCTCCATAGTAGTACCTAGGAACCTTTGGGATTGTGCTAGGAGCTTTGCAGGTCCCCGAAGCCGGAAGCGTCCCCTTCTCCTGAGTCCTGAGGCTGCGATGGTACTGGTGTTATTCGTCGGTGGCTTCTATGTGCTTGCTCGAGCAGCTCGGACTTCTTCAAGCCTGGGCTTATTGTGCTGCAGTTTCTTTAAGGGGATCTATAAGGGATCCTTTAAAGGGATCTATAGGGTTTAGGGTTCAAGGCTTGGATTTAAGGATTTTGGTTTAGGGTTCAGGCGATTTAGGATTAGCAGGACAGGAACCCAGGGCTGTAGCATGGCGTCCTTTGAGAATGCCTGAAGCGCGGGTTTAGGTTTTAGGGGTTTAGTGTTTATCACGATGGTCCAAGTATTCGATGGTCTTCGACTTCTGAATTAGGTGCGTGGTTAAGACTGCAGTACAGGAGACTAGCTTGGTAATTATTGTAGGTACCCAGAGTCCCCAATATCCCTGAACTGTACGATCCCCATGTATGACTTAAGGTATATTCCTTAATTAAGGGATATAGGAGTCTCTGGGTACCCACACATCGTCAAGGTGTCGACAAGGAAGTCCTTCCACGTCCGTGACTCTTGCAAAAGCAAAGCGAGGTTCCTCAGTAGTACCCTGTTGCCATTTTGTATTTCGGCATCCTCTTATTAAAACAGAATAGTAGGAAAAAAGGGTACCCTTATCAGTCAGGGGCTGCTCAGGAGCCTAGAAAACTGTTGCCGCCATAGACCCTTTTCAATGAAACAACAGCATTAGCACCTGTTTGCGGTCTAGGCGTATTACGACTGGCGCGCTGTCTTGCCAGAGTTTTGTCGCCATCGCAGTGTTTAGAGCTTAACTAGGATGCCCTAGTACCCTTATTCCCT